CCTGTTCACTACGCCGCATTCTTCGGACTCGATCTGGTAATTGAAGAACTTCATCGGTATGGTGCTGATATCGCACACTTTTCCGAAGAGAGTCGCTACGGCTCTCCACTCATAGCAGCAATCTGGGGCATTAGCGAGAGACGGTCTGCAATGGACGAAAACGCCGTTATTCAGACATTGGTGAAACTCGACAAAACTCGCAAAAGCATGATTACAAGCGGCAATGCAGGGCATCTGGGCAAAGTGACGCCATTAAATGCCGCGGTCAAACTGTACACGAGCTACAGGCGACGGATTGGTCTGGGCTCTGAAGATCTGATGGAAGTCATCTCCTTCCTTCTCGACGAGGGAGCCGTGGTCGATCCCGGGACACGGGCCATCGTTAGAGCCAATCCCGAATTAGGGCGCTATTTTGCTACCACGACGAAACCAATGTTCACCTCGAGTGTCTCAAGCTTTGCCTCTAGTGCGCCTATCAAGATCCCCAGCCCACGGTCACTTCGCTCGCCGAGTGGCCGTGGCAATGCCACTATTGGTGGGTTTGGCAATACCAATATTAGCGGTTTGATGCCGTATGGGCCGATAGTCCCCGGAGGCCCCGGAGGCCATCGCATAATCCAGACCGTCGAAGAACGGTTCTGATTTTAGGCAAGGCGAATAGGGGCCTTCATCTGACGATTCTGTATTAGCGGTGCTTCTCGGAGCATTTCATTGCTCAAAAGCTTTCGCACTATCTTGTACTGGTGTTACTGAACCCTCTAGAAGTTATGGAGAATGCTTCAAATAACCACATACATTACTACGGCATTATACTCCATGTATTCCATAAAATGGCATTCCAAGGGAGCTTGAGGCACACCGAACGAGTAAATGGTTCAGAGTGTGATTGAACAACGAGGAATAGAAGAAGTCACTGACTAAATAAGACTGAGCAAGGTACCAAGTTACCTTTCGGTAAGAGGATGTGGCACAGCTCTTACGGTAGTACTATTGAAACTTGCATTAATAATTAATGGAATAAAATATCAGAGTATTCCCATCCTATGGTGGAACTTGGGTAGTTGGTCTGTTAGCCTTCTATGTCTTGAAGAGCAGTTCTCCAAACAATAACAACGTTAAAACTGCAATGGCTGGTAAAGTTGCTTATTTGTACGATATTGAGTATTGAGGTGATCAGCGGAATGATTTCAGGTTTGGCGAGAACCAATATTTCTACTAATAAGTAGAAGTGTCGTCCGTCAAAGCTTACATATATGCAAGGAACACGGGAGGGAGTTCGGCCCACCTACCCGGCAAAAGACCCTGAATTGAAGGCCCCAATTAAAAGTATTGAAAGGGTAAGGCACCGTCCCACCACGAGTCGCGCGGCCGCAACTCGCAATCTGAGCTAACGAGCGACCCAAGAAATTTGCCTTACGAGAATAAAAATTAAAAGGTCTGTTCACTATGCTCCACGACTTCATCGATTTAATTTTCCTTAATCATCCTAATCGCGAATCCTCGTCTCCGCGCGTTCCTCCAACCAACATGTCCTCAGACCCGCAGCAGCAGCAGCAGCAGCCGGCGGCGTGCCCGGTAGATCATAAAAGCAGGGAAGCATGGCTCGAGAAAGCCAGGGCAGCAGCAGCAACAGCAACAGATTCTTCTGCTACGGCTCTGCCGCCGTCGCACCCGCCTGTCGACACGGCTGCTGACGGGGCAAGCTGTCCCGTCGATCACGGCGCGCGAGAAGTATGGACGCAGCAGGCGCGTGCGGCGTCCGAAGCAGCATCAACATCGAATGCGCCGTCTGTTATCCCAGCATCTGCCGCTTCGTCAACAGCAACACAGACCGCGAATCACGCCCAGACGTCACCGTGGACATCCTACATCCCTCGAATTCCCTTTCTCTCGTCCCCGAACTCTGGCTCAACGCCTCCCCCCTCGTCCACACCACAAGCCGCACCGCCGGGCACGTCACCACTCGGCACAGACCGCGAGGTTTCCACAATCCCACGCACATCCGTACTCCCCGCGACCACGGCCGCAGGCACAGGATCAAGAGGAGGCCACGCGCCACCGGCGAACAACGAGCAGGAGACGGGCGCGGACGGCACGACCGGGAACTGGATCTACCCATCCGAGCGCATGTTCTTCGAGGCGATGAAGCGGAAGGGCCACGATCCGCGGGCCGCCGACATGCAGACCGTGGTGCCGATCCACAACGCGGTCAACGAGCGGGCGTGGGCTGAGATCAAGGCATGGGAGGGGCCCTGGATACAAGGGAGCAGGTGAGTCGGAGTGATGACGAATAACTCTCTTCCTCTCACTCTCTTTCTCCTTCGATACCGCTTATATACACCATTGCTGACCATACCGTTCCTGGGAAAACAGCTGTGACGGACCACGTCTACACTCCTTCTCGGGCCTCAGCACGCAGATGTCGCCCAAGGCACGCTTCAACACGCTGTTGGGGTACCAAGCGCCGTTTGACCGGCACGACTGGGTCGTTGACCGCTGCGGCCGGGAGATCGACTACGTGATCGACTTCTACGCCGGACGCAATGGCAGCAGCGGGGTCGACGGAAAGCTGTCTTTCTACCTCGATGTGCGGCCCAAGCTGAATTCGTGGGAGGGCGTGAAAATGCGGGCTTTCCGTGCCATGGGACTCGCCTAGGCTGCTTACGCTTAATTCTAAGTCTGTCTGTTTCAGTTTGACCTACACACTTTCCCTAGAAACGGTGTATAGTGGATGGCCACGGCTTCGTCGTCGGTGAGTGGCTTTTTGAATTTGTACAACTAATGTATCACACATGGGAATCTCCCAAAATCCGAGTATTTATGCCATAGAATGAGGAAGGCAAGGCGTTCAGGTATATCATGAGGGATCGCTGGCTTTTGCGTCATCTCATGCACGCAGTAGCTCTACTTTACACTACGAAGTAAAATTCTGCCGATGTCATTTTGTACACATGGTCCTCCGTATCCTGTTGTTCTCTTTCATTCCACCACAATTCGAACAGCAGGGCCCGTCTCCATTGCTCCAGTCTCGAGGTCCCATCCAGCGCTCGAGATAGCCTTCCAGAAGTCCTCGTTGACGACGGATCGCGGACCATCCAGCGCAGTGATCCAAGCCTCAATGGCATCAACTGTCGTGGCGCCGCTCTTGAGGTATATTTTCTGGCCTTTCCTGCCATTGATAATGACGTACTGCATGTGGTGGAATTTCTGCAGGTTGCTGGTAGTTATCTCTCCAGCCAGTGGATGTTTGCGTGCATAGTCGATATTAGGTGCATTCCAGTGCAAGATGTGCTCTTTGGCGGCGACCTCATCGGGCCGTAGCACACGGCCGCTGTGCAGAAATTCGGTGACAAGCAAGGTAGCGCGCTGCTTGTTGAGGGTACGCATCTGTACGGCGCGCACGGCTTGGTAGTTAGTCCAGAGATGGAGGCCAACCAGTGTCACGGTCCATAGCCAGACGGCCAGGCGGCCCTGCACGAAGCGTACGAATACACTGCCGGTCAGCATTCCGAGCAAACTAATGACGGTCTCCTGGCTTCCATCCTTGGCGTTGAGCTCAGCGAGGTTACCGGAGCGAGCGAAGTGTGCGCTGAGACTCGCCTTAGCTGACATGCCCGAGACGCCGCACAGCGCACGCAAGACACCTGATAGACAGAGTGCAGCGACCTTGCCGGGGCCCGGTAGAGCCGGAGAGAGGACATCGAGGAACATGGCGGAGTCGTTGAAGATGTCAGCGAGGAAGCGGTAGTACTTGCACTCTGGCTCGATGGCCTGGCCCAGCCGGTGCGCAAACAAGATGGTGGCCAGTCGACCGGTCGACTCTTGCAGCACAGTCAGCAGCACAGCGCCCGTGGCCGAGGATGCGGCATTTCCTACACCGAAGCCCTGGAGTACCGCCCGTGACGACAACAATCCGGCTATCGTACTAGAAAAAGCCTGGAGCGAGTCCTAGAAACGGCGAGAAGAGCGGTTATTAGCTGGACTGGGTCAAGGAAATTGACCGGTTTTTCTTGTCACTGCAAACAGACACATCCTCAAGATCAAGAGGGAAATGGGCAGTTGCCGATCTAGGAAGAGAGTACTCACGTAGATCTGGTAGGGCGTGTAGTCACGTGTAACGGTATGCGGATAGCCTGCTGGCAAGAAGATGTCGAGAACCTCGCGTGCGTAGCTGCGGCGCTTGACGTTGAGCTTGCTGTTGTCGTCGTAGATGCAGAGCACCCCGGATTCGTCAGAGGCACTGACGAGCTTCGGATGCGCTGTCATTTTGGTAATTTATTCTCATCTGGAAGGAATGAGGGAATGAGGTGGTGATGGAGTGTGCATGTCTTATGTTTGTGTATAAGTGTTCGAGGCTTGCCAGGGTTCAAGTAGGTGAGTAGGAAGCTGTTGGGAACATTGAATGCTGGAAAAGGCAGTGTCTACCCCACGGTTGCCCCACTCTTCGACTGCTGCGGCGGCTGCTATTGGGAAGGTACCTACATACGTACTTCCATGTCTTAGTGATTGCCTGACCATAATTACTACTTCCATCGATTTTGTTTGCTCTGGCAATCTCTGCTTTGTGACACATCTTACATGTACATGTAGGTCACGGTATTTCCTCATTGTACAACATGGCTAGAGCAATGTGTGCTTAGGCAACTTCACTATAAAGGTACCTTATTTAGGTGTGTCCTTTGACTGTTTTTTCAGCAGACATAGTTAAAGTGAGTAATAATGACTGCATCAAGTATATATGGAGTAATTATATTTGATGTTCAACATGTTTTAATAATTAGTTTCATAATAGCCGGGAAGAAGTTTAGTTAATATACTAAATATTGTCATATTAATTATTGTTCTAATTTTGGACATTAAGGTTTTATTCATTTAAAAAAATAAAATAAAAAAATAAAAAAAATAAAAAAAATAAAAAAAATAAAAATAAAAAAAAAACCTCGGCCCAACTTTTATTGTGTAAAAATGAATGTTGAATCAAGTGGGGAAAAAAACAAGTTTGAAGATGACCGGAATTGAACCGGCAACCCCCAGGACTGGAATCTGGTGCGCTACCATTGCGCCACATCTCCTACGAAGTGCTAACTAGTGAAGTGCATCAGCTCATTTGACTGTACTCTCTTCCTGTTGCTGCCCTTGTTCTAATATGTCAAGGAAATTTATGGCCGAGGCTAGCTGAGCTATTGTTGTAGTATCGTGGACCCCATGGGGCTTAGCCCTCTAGTACGGGCCCTAACTATGAGCTAGGATTTGGCACAAAACAGATAAACAACAGCTCCGGAGATCACAAGTACTCAAGAATCTCTGGGTGTTAATCTTTACACGGATGATTTGGACAGGATCATCTGAAAATATAACAGCATGCTTTGTTATCAAGGCACTGGTGACTACCTTATGTGAGCCACTAACCCACGCCTCCGCAGCCGCCGTGGTTTGCTCTCTCACTGCCGTTATATGTCTTCCCGTGCAAGTGGGCCAAAGAAATGCATCTAGTGCTACATATGTCTAGTGCAGTTGATGTGATGTAGTTATTATCTTCACGAGCTGTGTTCCTCTGTGCTACCTTACAGGTATTATTATTAACGCCTTGCTCATGTACCAGCAATTATAAATTAAGCGAAACTGCCAGGCAAGCTGTCTCGAGTCTCAGGCAATTGGTGATGGACTGGTCGACAATCGTCCTTAACCTATGATCGTGGCCAAAACCGACATCCTTTGCATTGTTCCTCAATCTACCACCTTTCCAGCCCTATCATCAGTCTCAGCCCTCAGATGTAGGAAGGTTGGGCAATGGGTACGCCGCCACGGCCGCGGCGATAGAGAATGTAGCTCAATCCAGCCATGGCAAATCCAAGGAGGAAACCGGCGTACTCGAAGATGTAGTCGGTATGGGCCATGTAGCATCGGCTGGGCGTCAAGTCCTTGCCATCCGAAGAGAAGGCATTCAGGCACAGGAGGCCCTTATCGGTTTCTACACATCCACCGCTGAGTATCTGGTTGGTGATACGGGAGTACACGGCGTTATCGTGCGTGCTGGTGCAGCTCGAAACGCCTCTGAGGCCAACTGTGAAGGACTATCAATATATATTAGCAAGTAGTGACTAGCGAACGAGACATGAAGCTTGGGATAGCCAAATAATTATAGGGTAAGGGAATAATTGGGACGTACGATTGCGGCTGCGAAGTACAAGACTGCGACGAACATGTCCAGGCCGATAAGAATCTTTCCGTTAATTCGGTCAAACCACATGGTAGCCATGCCGACGGTCGAGGCGAAGAAGCCGATCGTACCTACGAAGATGCTGAAGCCAGTCTCAGGTGGAACCGAACCATACTTCTGGTACTTTGCCAAAGTGACGGAGAGACCGAGTACAACGGCTGCGGCCAGAAGCTGCGAATAGTCAGATTGGTACTTTCGCTGACAAAAATGCGACCAAAGCCTTTGGTGGGACTCACGAGGACAGCTCGCAAGCCAATACCGATGATCGATATCATGGTTAATTTCTGTTCGTGCGATGGTTGTGCGTAGAGGAGATGGAAGCATTCTTTTGCTATCAGGAGAGTGTGGTCAATGAAAAAGTGGTAATTGCAGGTGGATGGGAAGAGAATTAAGGGAAATCAACAGTAAAACGCAACGACGTCCATGCTCTTAGCAAGTACAAAATACCTCAAACGAGTAACACGGTAGGTACACAAAACCGATATCTCTAGTTACCTAGGCCACAACTCGCGACAGTTTGTTATCAGCACAAGAGATCATGATTAAACTGATAAGAACACAGAATATTTTGATGTCCGGCTTTCATTTGTGCACATATGCACAAACAAGAAGCATCTTATTGGAGGTTTCAACCAGTCGTGGATATGATTAAGTTCCAAGGCTACATGTAGATGCCACTGACCAACCACAAGTTCTTAAGGGTATGTACTTGACGATATCCATAGATTGAATATGTAAGGTCTCAGACGGGTCGCCGTAAACTCAACAGCTCCTTCTAAAGGCAGCAGCCATACCTGTAGGTGTCAACGAACTGTGAATCGTGGGGGGTTTTATCACCTTTCTCTGCTTGGTTCCGCTCCTGTCATACGTGTGCAATTCAGACGACCCCAAATAGCTGATTTAGGTGACTTATGCAAGCTATGCGGCTACTGAGCCGTAATCGTCTCCATAACCCCATTAGATTGTAGGTCGAGGTGTTTTCAAAAGATCCAAGCTTAAATTCATATTATATTATGCTCTTCAGCCTTCCTTGTGGGAGTTACTTGGTTGTCCCGGTTTCACGGTTTCAGCTTATCAAGTAGTTCGTCGTTAATAAAATGCATCACGGAAGGTAGCGCAGCGCTCAGCACACACAGTCGTTTTAGACAGTTTCTTAGCGGCCATGAGGGTTGTACCGAGGTTTGAATTTAATTGGGCCTCTAATTGTGAAGGCTGTCCTCACAGCTGCACTAGGTATTCCTCTTAGGTCAGAAGAAACCATGAACAACGAGCCCCGAGTCTCCCTCCCCTAATAATAGAGATGAAAGTATCAAGCACGACAATCGTTTTCTAAAATCATCTTCCGCCGCTTACCTCCCTGAACGATCATATGCCTACGACCAAGCATAGCGTGTTGACCATCTTCGTTCTTGATATTAAGGTGTGTTCACATATGATAGTAATACCTGTGTGCATAAGGCAGGGGTTTCTACTGGTCAACCGCATTCTGACAGAAGGTTAGCTCCTTTAAAACATTCTGATAATTAATTGGTTCCGCTTCTAGATCATAAAGAAAGAGAAGTATAATAAAAATCAATTACTGAACCCTAGTGCATTGAGCATTTAGCAAAACCCATCATCGTCAAACACTGCAATAGGCAATGTGCACTAATCCGAGTTCGAGATCGACGTCAGGTCTGTTGGTCTAGAATATTGAACACGACTCCATTTGCCATTGATACATCTTTAGAGAAGGACCGGGGCCGGGCTGGGCATGGTGATAATTAGAATTTCTATGTAGCTAGACTTTATAAATCCTTGTCGTTTAGTTAGAAAAAAAAAAACCCTCTCGTTTACGCAGGATATTCGAGTATTCTTTTCACGACTGGTAATCAGGAGACATCTAGCTTACCGCCTTTCAATTTCTCTTCTTTCTTACTGAACCATAGTACACGCCTAGCATCTGAATGAAAAGGCGCAAGTTACTAATATAACATTCGTCAATATTTTTCGGCAATGGAACAAAAAGCATGACGAGGACGTGGTAAGATATAGTTAAATGTCATAAGTATCAAACTATAAATACTGGGTTGCCTCATTTGGCGAAACCCACATTGTCTTGGCCAATAACGTCGCGAAGTAAATCACTTCCCTGCTGATACAATGTTTATGATCTAGATACTATCATCCGGTTATTATCTCGTGATGGTCTCTTCTCTGTGTTTTTGTATCCATACAAATTTACTATTGACTTGGCTCGGTTAATTTTGCCGAGGAGCGGAAACGTAAAGAACATGAAACGCCGCCAATGACAAACAGCCAGATGCTTCAGTCTTGGTCAACAATTTTCGATTTTGAAGTTAGCAGACTTCAGCCAAACTTTACAAAAAGTGTTTTCTATATGCAAAGCACTTCTACCCTAAGACACCTGGCATTGGCGCGCTGATGTGATACATAAATGGTGTGTTTCGATTAGAGCAGAGCATCTTCTCGCAACATGAAAACTCTAATCCAACACCAGGCTATTACTTGGATAGATGTCCTTGGGGATTTGCTGTCAGATGGTACCTCCATACAATAGTAACCCACACTCTTAATATTCAGAAAAGTAAGAATATGTTTAACAGTATATCTGTCGCGTATAAATACCGTTGTTGCCTACTCGGCGGTAACGGCGTCGATTTTTTCGTCACAACACCGCTACCTTGACTCGGACTTGCGTTGGCGGTAGGCGAAACTTCCATATTACCAAGGGGTTAGACTAGCTACGCATAATGCTTTACAATTTTCTTTTCTAAATTGTGGCCTATTAAGTGACTGACCCGCCAGTATTCCTTAAATACCTACCTATGATCTCCGGAGCCACTACTAACCCGTTCTGTATCAAATGCTAGAGCTGCAATTAGTACTTTGGCCTATGTCATAGTTGAGGCTGAGTCGAAGTCCCAAGGCCAATCGGGCGAAGTTGGGGGCTGCTATCGTAAGTAGGGGATGATGATTACTGCACTGCTTTTTTAGCCTCGCTCGCGGGTTGGACGGCCATCGGGCTATATGTGGGCTGGGGGGATAATACACTAGCTAGGTGGATGCATAATCTTTACTCATGCATCCAAAGCCTCCATCTCCTATCACATCGGAAACTACCCGTGTTTTGTTTTTTCTCCTCTGAATTTATAAGTGATACCGGTTAGCCCCAGCGTCTAACGTAATTTGCATTGAGACAAAGTAAGCTAAAGTTTAACTCCTACCATTGGACATGGTCGTCGAATGAAAAACGCGGGTCTACGAAATTCATCGAAGACATAGCCTTGAATTTCGCCTTCTTAAAACCTCCGGACTCACGTTGCTTGTTTATCTTTCCTCTTTGGTTAATGAATCACGCTTTTCTAAGCCGTACTTTAAACCCCCGGGGCGGACCCTGCAAGCTATGTTGAGCGATCATGAGCACTCCCTCTTCAAATGCGTGCATTTTGAGAGATTTACGAGTGTATTTAAAGAATAAGTGATTATAAAATATTTTGCAGAGAGACCCGAAATCATTATACGTGGTAGGAGAGCGAAGGTCCCACCATACCCCCAGAAGTTACTAGCACTGAATGCTGATATTTATCTAAAACTGCATACAGAGGAGCGAATAACGCCGTTTCAGGGCCCTTGCCGCGTTAGCTACGTGGGTATATGTAGGGTAATACTCAAATTCAGCCACATATACCCTTCAAATCGGATTCATAATTCACTTCCGGCCCACTCAATACGCACATCTTTCTTTCTATCACCATCTAATCTTGAAAAACATTTATCTGTCCCCATTACGGGATGACCAACAAAGCCATGAGATGTTGGCTCACAGGCTTACTTTTGCATTATCACAAC